GTAAAGTAAAAACGGTTATGAAACCGCAACGGTCGAATGACCGAACAAGCAAAGTAAAAACGGCTATGAAATCGCAGTGGTCGAATGACCGAACAAGGAAAGTAAAAATGGTTATAAAACCGCAACGGTCGAATGACCGAAAAAGTAAAGTAACAACGATTATGAAACCGCAACGATTGAATGACCGGAACAAGTAAAGTAAAAATGGTTTTATAACCACAACGGTCAAATGACCAAATAAGAAAAGTGAAAACGGTTTTATAACCGCAACGGTCGAATGACCGAACAAGCAAAGTGAAAACGGTTTTATAACCGCAAGTTGAGTAGCAACGGTTGTATAACCGAGTAAGGAATAGTTTTATAACTGAGCAAGAAATGGTTTTATAACCGAATAAGAAATGGTTTTATAACCAAACAAGAAACGGTTTTATAACCGAGTAAGTTGAGTTGCAACAGTCAAACGACTGAGCAAGTTGAGTAGCTATGGTTGTATAACCAAGCTAGTTGAGCAGAAACGGTTTTATAACCGAGCAAGAAATAGTTTTATAACTGAGCAAGAAATGGTTTTATAACCAAACAAGAAACGGTTTTATAACCGAGTAAGTTGAATGGCAACAAGGCCGAATGAGGGTAAACATGACCAAGGGGTCGGATGAAGGTAATGTTTGAAAAATCTGTAACAATGAAACAGATATAAGTGAGACAACTTTCACATAGAAAATAATGTAAGATGAAGAGAGGTTAAGAAACTCCCCTGAACATATGGTGGATGCCTATGCTTGGCAAGAGTCAAATGTTCTTTGTGTTGTGTGCTCAACAACCTTGTGATCATTTCTGTGTAGCAGCTTGGTAGATTCATATTCATGTATATCCTATTGAGTGCAAGAGGTAGAATCTCATCTGTTTCCCATGAAGGGATATTTGAAAATATTGCTCCAATAAGTTGAACTTTCATTTGCTATTGGAGTTTTAGCTAGCATGGGTGACTTTTTAGCCATCGAATTCAGCTTCTTTTCTCCCTGTAATCCTCATCTAACCTTTTAAATTCATCAAGAGATTTTCATTAGATAAATAATTATATTAACTAAAATGAATGTATCATACTCAACTAATATTCCCAATACTGAATAAAAGGCAAGGTTGGAGTAAAATGTGAACAGAATAATAGCGAAGATTGATTCCACTAGATTCAAGAAAAGGGCCGGATAATCAAATGATCAACTTCTTTTAGTGACAAAAAGAAGTCTAGCTAGTAACACAAGATTTTGATGTAATGGGTTACAAGATATTCAGATCATAAATCATTGCTTCAAATCATCTTTTCTTTTACAACTCTGCCCATTAGTCCTTTAGTCCATGAGAGAGAATTTCATTCATTTTCTGAATGTTGACACTTCAAATCTTTCCCCTTTGCATGAACTAACTCTTGTGCTCAAAAGAAGAAAGTTTCCCACTATCAATGCCTGGAGCTTTGATGTCTCTCTCTTTTTTGTTAATGTATGCCCCTTGGCATAGAAAGCTTCAAATCCTCAAATAAGGACTTTTCATAGGCTTGTAACATGGCTTGGGTTAGGTTATGGTGAAAGAAAGGATAAAGGCTCAAAATCCATATATTCCCCTCACATTCCTCTCTTCACTTCCCCGGTCATTAATGTGGGTTGATAGAAAGAAAATCATTCTGGCTTTTGTAAATTTGAATGATTACCTTTTTCTGGCTCAAAAGGGGTAAGCAAAAGGGCAATGTTCAACTATTTAGGGTAGAGAAACAAGGCCTTTCATCATTGGATTTCCACTTTCTAAGTCAAGGAAACATTTAACTTGTTAGGCTGCCCTTTCGGGTTTTTAACCTAACCTCCCTCTTCTTCTTTTTAATAATATTGGCATTCACTGGATGATGATAATCATTTCCATTTGGATAACTCAACAAGAGTGTTCCTCCAAAGAAAGCTTCTTTAACAACATAGGGCCCTTCATAATTTGGTGCAAATTTGCCCTTAGGTTCCCTTTCGTTTAGTATGATCTTCCTTAAGACAAGATCTCCTTGATGAAATACTCTGGGTCTGACCTTCTTGTTGTAAGTTGCTGCCATTCATTGCTGATAACATTGGCCATGACAAAGAGTTGCCAATCTTTTCTCATCAAACAAAGTTGAGACTATCAACTCTTTTGCTCTCCTTTGAGTATTAACTTTTATCTTCTTTTTGTCATCTTCAGCACCCTGATTAATGGCTTCTATCTCTTCTTAACATTTGAGTTAGTTCATGAGAAGGATCAAGACTTTCATTGTCTTCTTCAGTATAGGTCTGATCAACCATCTCATATATAAAGTTTGACATAGCATCACTGTTTGAAGATTCATCATTAGCAGGCCTGAAAATTTGGATGGAAGTAAATAAATGGCCATATGATAATAAAGCAAAGATAAGAACATGTTACTGGATAACCTCATGAAATATATCATTAAAGAGTGGTTTGTACAACAAAAGTTCAAGTAAAGTTGCATCATGATGATTTTTACAATGATGGGTAGGATTGCAACATATTCATTCAAAAGAAAAGCATGGGAATACTAGCAGCATGATAACATAAATTTCAGAAAATATAAAAATGCTTGTTGAATCCCTCCCTTCACGTAGTCACAAGCAAAACTACTAGAGGCTGACTCCTTTTACTCAAAGATGAAAGCTGCAGGGAGAAGTTTCGCTGTCCAATTAGCCTAAAAGCTTCCATTGACTAGTGAAATTCCCCTATCAAATTCTAGTTCTTCCTCATCTAGAGCATTCATAATCAAATTTCCCCATGAGTCACATAGTGATTCTTCTTTTGCTGATTCAAGAGGCACAGACTCATATGAACCCATTGGAGCTTTCGCATGATGAACAAGATGGAGGTTGGGGTGCTTCTCCATGAATGCCCTTTCAACGAGTATCCTCCTCCGCCTCTCCTTAGGATCTACCATGTTGGCTGACCCAAAGAGATTGTTGAAGCCAAAATAGTCTTCTTCATCGTCAGAACAGACCTCATTAGTGATATCTTCCACAATCGCCTCCTCAAATTGTGCTACACATTTTTCTGACACCTGTGCAGACACAAATTTTAAAGATCCCATTGCTTGCAACTCCTCAACCTTTCTCTGAAAATCTTCACAACCTCGCAAAGCATGCCCCTTCATATTGGAGTGGTAAGGACACACCAAGGCATCATCAATCATTGTGAGCGAAACATTCAAGCTCATTTGTGCAATCGGCTGAATCAAACCATACTTTGTCAAAATGGTAAACAATTCATCAAGAGACCAAAAACTGGCATTCTCCAACATGGCTTTTCAACTTCGTCAAGGGCGACCATATTCATTGTGCCTGCATCGTGAGGGGGTAAAGGATTTTGAGTGGTGTTCGAAGTACTCTTGGCTTCATCGAACTGAAGTTTACCCTCATTGATAAGATCTTGAATTTTTATTTTCAAAGTTGCACAGTATTCAGTACCATGACCCACTACATTGTGATATTCGCACCTAGCTTGCAGATCATACCAGTATGGATAAGGTGGTTGAATAGGGTTCACTTGCACTGTCTCCAATAAACCCACTGCAACTAATTGTTTCAACGCCTCACCATAAGGGATTGGAAGCTTAGTGAACTGTCTTGACCTATTCGTAGACGGGAATTGCTGCCTTAACGAAGTGTGAGCATTAAAGTTTGGCTTCCTTTGAGAGTGAATGGTAGGCTTATAAGTTGGGGTGTATTGCATTTGAGTCTGGCGCTTATAAGGAATGTTTGCCACATTATGACAAGTGGAAATATGGCTCAAAGCTTCTTCATCTTCTTTTCTTCCTCCGGGTGCAAACTTCTTTGAAGTAGATCCGGCACTACCCATTTTGACTTGTTCTAATTGTTTCTGGACGGCTTGAAAATCCATAATTATGCCGGTCTTAAGTCCATCTTCAATCTGTTCACCCGCTGTCACTAGCTGAGCGAAAGTATATCCCACACAAGGAGCTAACCATGCACGGAAAGTCCCGGTAGTCGACTTGATAAAGAGAGAGCAAATTTCACTGTCAGTGAGAGGTGGCATGACTTTAGTTGCTTCGGATCTCCACCTTTGAGCAAATTCTTTGAAAGTCTCATTACTCTTCTTGGTAATTTTCTGCAAGCTATCTCTTGTAGGGGCCAAACTCATATTATACTCATATTGCTTCATGAAAGCTTGAGACACATCTTTGAAAGTGCAAATCTTCTTCTTGTCAAGTGTTGAAAACCAAACACTTGCTGGGCCTGAGAGATTGTCTTGAAAATAGTGAATGAGTACCCTCTCATCATTAGCATAAGGTGCCATCTTCCTGGCATACATCTGCAGGTGGGCATAAGGACAACCTGAGCCATCATACTTGTCAAAATCCAGCTGCTTGAACTTGAAACTTGTCTAAATTCCCGGATAGTAGCAAAGATCATCCAAATCAATGGAACCATAAGCTTGCGGCCCTTGCATTGTCTTCAAAGCTTCTTCTAACTGTTGTAGCTTGTGATCAACCTCTCTTGACTTCCCATCCTCTAAAGCAGACCTCAACATCGCAACTGAGGGGTTGGGTTGAATAGTTGGTACTTGTCCCATCGAAGGTGGTATGTTAAGAGCAAAAGGTGTGGTGGCGGGCAAGGTAAGGTCATTCACCTCAAGTGGCGGGTGTGACAAAGATGGGATTTGTGGCACATGTGAAGATGACTCCCCCATTAAAGGTTGATTCTCATAGATAGATGGAAATTGCAATTGTGTGACCATGGGATCCTTAGCATGAGTACCCGATGTGATGGTAGATGATGGAATAAGGATGGGTGGAGCTGGTGTTGTGGGCACTAAGGATGGAGGTGAAGGAACTGAACCAGTAGCTAGAGTGGACAAAGTGAGACTGATAGTCTGAAGAGTAGCAGCCATAGTTTGCATTGTAGCTTCCAACTTATCAACCCTCTCATCCACGGCTGATTTCTCTGGATTAATAGCAGCATTTTCCTCAAACATTTTGATTACTCTAGATCTGAGCAAATATGGAGAACGCCGCTTTTTGAAGAACTTCCGCCTTGGAGCTATGATTAGAGGACCTTTTTACCTAGCAAAGACAAAAAGGAAAAATTAGAAAACTAAAGAAAGCAAATGCCATGAAGCTGGAAAAAAAAGTGAATGGTGTCATGCTTGGAGAAAATGGATGATGTGCTCAAATTATTTTGATGTCTAGAAGGTGGATTTTTCATGAATTTATCTTTGAAGAACCTCTTCTCTTCTTTTTTTTTTTTTTTTTTA